TCACTTTTGTTTGATCTCTTAAACAACAGGTTTCCATGGTTCAGAGGTGATACCAATAGGCCAGTCACATTCCCAAGAGGAGAGGCTAGTACAGTAATGACAAAGGAAGCTGTTCTAATAAGTCTGCTTCCCATAAGACTGAAAAATGAGAACAATTTAAGCCTACTCCGAATAAGAACACTATACCAGTATATCAGCATCAGTCAAACCATTTCATTGGCATGCATTTTAAGTTGTCTGCAAGAAGTCTCAGAACTTTAGGGATATGCCTAAATGAATATTTGAAGCTTCTAAAAATATACATTAGCATTCAGGGTTCGTCATAAGTCAACATGATATGGAATGGTATGCTGAAGCTAGCAAGGCACAGTAATCAAAATTATCCACTTCAATGCTCTTCCATGTGGCCTAAGCAGATTCTACAAAGAGTAAAACCTCTGTATAATTGTACTTAAATCACCTTCCTGATCATTTAGTCAAGTTAAAGAGTGAGTCAATGCAAAAGCATGTTTATCATAATGCAATGTGTTTAGCTGATGGGAATTTTTCCTTGTAAAGCTAGTAATTGGCCAGAACAAGTGGTTAACAAAATAATGTTCTAGATTAAATGTTTTCCTCTCTCCCAAAGAGAAACTCACAAAGCAGATATTAAAGTTAGGATAATACAACATGAGCTCGTTAGGAAAAACAAGTAACTAGATATTGATATATCAAATTCATTATACTAAATCAAATACTTTGCAATTTTCCCTCTTTGGGATGATTTTTTTTCTTCAAAATTTAAATACATTTGCAGCTTCAAGAAAGGCACAGTCAATTTTGTCCTAACACTCTTGACTGACTTTGATAGTGGTTTCAGGGGGTAGCTGAGTTAGTCTGTACAGGATAAACTTAAAAAACCAACAAATGGTCTGGTAACACTTCATAGACTAACAAAACATGTAGATGATATCATGAGCTTTCATAGGCACAGCCTACTTCTTCAGATGACCGGAGTTTTGAGTTTAGGATGTGCAGACCCGAAATAAATACGAGAAGGGGGAAGGAAAAAAAGGAGGGGGCAGGAAACAAGGAGCAGAGGGTATGGAAATATCAAAGGGAAAAACAGGAAGGCAGAACTGGGAATCAGTAAGCACCTGAAGAGTCAATCCTTAAAATGAAGCAAATAAGAATCAAAGGCAATAAATAGGAAGGGTACTAACATAGGAATCTACACAAAGAGCATATGCAGAAGGCTGTACTTTAGGAGGAGAATTTCATCATTTTATTCCCTGTCCTCAAAGCCAATGTTTATTGTTAATGTAGAACTGGAAATGGAGGATTCATATTCTGAAAAGTTGCATAAGTGTTAATTAATTCTCAAGATCCCACAGTGACCTAGGAAAGAGTTATGCATTCAGGCCCTTCCTTTTTCCCCCAGGGTGAGGGAACTGATGACACAGAATTTGACTTGCCCACATCTACACAACTAGCAGATGACGTTCAGGGGTTTCCTGGGGTCAGTTAGTACTCAGCCCACACTACTCCATATTTCAAATCAAAGAGTAAACATGGGGATCAGCTGAGGGAAAACTAATATTAGATGTATTGTACTGATGCAGCTGCAGTATTGTAGCACAATAAAGATGCTCTATGCTGATAGAACACTCTCCTGTCAGCCTTATTACTCTGCCCACTGGGAGAGCCAGTGCCCTATCACCAGAAAAGATGTGGACAGCGCTTAAGTCACTAAGGCCAGATCTACACTAGACCTGGAAGGTTGATTTATGGAACAGAACTCCAGCTATGTACTAGACCCCCCCTCCCCCCGCAAATCGAATGCCAGTCTCCAGTGTGGCAGGCAAAGCCATGCCCTAACTTGCATGGCATTCATACCCCAAGTACCCTAAGACACATGGACTTAAAGCAGAAGTATAGCTCTGCCTTCTGTTATACTAGCAAGACATGGACATTATTCAGAATGGTCACTATCAGGATGTATTTATGACTCTAGTACTGCCACCCTTCCTCCACAAGCAGGTCTAAATTAATATTGTTACTGACTTGCCAGAGACATGAAAGAGGCAGCTTTTGTATCCATCCCCATTCAGTGGCAGTAAACAGCATGTTTTATAGCTGTTTTAATCATTAAATGATACAGCAAGATTGGATATTTTGTTCTGTGTGTGCTATAGGAAGCTTAAGATACTTTTACATATGTGAATTGAGCTTCCAAGAGCAGAAGCTGGAGATAACAATAAGATCCGTATAAACAGAAGAGTATCTGCACGGACTGAAGCAATCAGAACTAGCTGTTAGGTGGAGGGAGAAAATTGGTCTGTAATTATTTCTTTTGGTCTTTAGAAGAGCTCACTGTGGGGATAGACTAGGTTGACACTGGAGCTGAGTCAATTGGCACAAGTGAGGCCCCATTCCGAGACATCTTGGTCAAAAATGTAAACCAAATTATCTCCCCCAGACAGCAGTTGGTTATATGTTCTGGGTCTGACTGCAAAAACTGGAATTTCCTAGTTGTGTCTTATACTCTATACTAACCAAAGTAGTATTGCATTATTAGTTTTATTAATGTAACAAGTGAAAAACTCAACTCTCAAGTACTTTTGTTTAGTTAAAGCACTCAGAGTGCCAAGAAAGACGGAATGGATATTTAGTTGAGGAGCTGCTCAGCACAGGTTTGTTCTATGCCCTGGCTCTTATACGTCAGGCAGGCAGAGAGCGGAAAGAAGAAACAAATAGCTGTGTATGGATGATTACTTGCAGCCTGTTCACCCAGCAGATGGCGCTATGACATTCTACATTTCACCAATGCATTTGATTTCTATCACTGAAATAGTTCTTATTTCGAGTATATAAGCCACTATTATACTCTAGAGCTGTGGTATTCAAACAGTTCTGAAACCAGTAGCCACTATAGCGAACTAGCCACTCAACTGGCCAAATAGCTACATACAGCTAGCGTGTCATACACCAGGGCTTTAGAGCCTTGCTAGGATTCAAACAAAAGTAATGTGCATATCCACAAGCAATCAGTGCATTGCTCATGATACCACCTACATGTTGTGTTAGTCTTTAAAGTGCTACCAGACTATTTGTTGAAGTTTTTCCTCAGTGTAATGGGTAATCTAATTCCAGTTTGCCAAGTGAGAAGCACGTAAATCTAGTTCTTGATTACTCTACTGCATAAGCTTCAATGCCCCTCCCTACCTCCTGCACTTATTCAAACCATGGCTGTCTGCCAATAGATCACCATTGTCATCTGAACAATCCAAGCCCATCCTCAAAGAGCAATTATTTTTGGTGGGGAGAATAGATTTAATATTAGGTCATATCTGGCATTCCTCATAGGCAAGCCAGAGCCTACTGCTTCTTCCTCCTCAACATTTCAGAGCAGCCCTATCATTTTCTGTAAACAGCAAATGTTCATCCACACCCAACTCTGTTTGTTCATCTGATACCTACTCATGTACAGGGTCAAACCCTTTGGAAGGCCATCTGGCTAGATCAGCCTCCTGAGACCTTGCACTAGCCCTTACCACTGTAAAACAAATAAAAACCCCACAAAACAAAAGACCACCAACAGATTAGGGCTAGTTTAACTTTAAGTCCTCCATGGCTCTGCTCTCCTTACTTACCCAATCTTGTCACACTGGATCCTCACCCCAGCAAAGCTAGCACTGATACGCCATTTCTGTGCTTCTACTGCTGTCTCATGCCTGAAGAGGCAGTCTTCTATACAACCTTCCTGAACAGGAGGATGCCACAACCCTCTCTTTGAGAGCCCTCATTGAGAAGTATGTGTATTTAGCTAAACAGGACATTTAAAAGACCTTGCACAGTCACTTGCTTTAACATGTCATGTGCTAGTCCTTACCATGTAGTCAGGGAAGTTCTTGTCTTACATTTTCTCCCTGCCCCAGAGAGGTTCAAGACTTTTGATCGTATACCATCTAGGTTTGGTTGGTCTTTAAGGCTATATCTATACTGCAGTTATTTCGGAATAAGCTATTTTGGAATAGCTTATTTTGAAATAGCACATCAACACTGCAGGGAAGCATCAAAATTAGTCTGAGGCAGGCTTCCCTAATGTAGACACACTATCTCAATTTACAGCCCCAGGAGAAATAACTTACAATGGCCCTGGTGAGGGGCTATTTCGAAATAGCAGCAGTGGAGTGTCTACACATGCTTTATTTCAAAATAGCTATTTCGGAATAGGCGTTATTCTTTGTAGAATGAGGTTTACAGAAGTCAGAGTTAGCTGTCCGTTATTTTGAAATAATGGGATTACTGTGTAGATGCTCACATGGCCATTATTCTGAAATAATGCTGCTGTGTAGACACAGTAAGGTGTTGCTATACTAGGTTTAAGTTTTTCCAGTTAGACTAACTCTGCTACCCCTCTGAAACTCCTACTTTTTGTGCATCATCCAGAAGACTGAGAAATGCCATAGCAAGGGAGAGGGAGAGAGATGTGTGTAAAGGAGGGGGAAACTTGAGAGATGGAGATACATATTGTGAAGGGTTTTGCATGGTTGGGGAAGAAGCACACCTAGAATTCCCTCTTTGCATGCAATGATACAGTTTCTAACAGAAAGTCAGTCTCTTTTTCTAATACTAAGAGCAAGACTTCCAGAACAAGAGGCAAGCTATAAAGGAAAGCCTTTCACCTATTAATTAGTTCCATGTGATCAACCGTAAGTGCATTGAGAATGCATCTCTATAGCAATCAGATCACATGATTTATTACTTCATTTCACCCTTAGATGATTTAGAATCATGTTCACATTTATGGCAGCTTCCTCAGAGCTGCCAAAAAGTTTTTCAGCTGGTAGGATTGCCCATAGTGCTCCCTCCTGCACTTCTCCCCGTTTTTACTGTAGCCATGATATTCTTGCATGAAATTCTCTTATGATCCTTATGGCAATAGACTGGTGTTTATGGGCCTCTAATGACCTTTTTGCTCTCAGATAAGGTATTTGAAAGAAGACCATAGAGCCAAATACAGCAACCATTGTTTTTTAATTTAGATGCATTTACACAAGTATAAAGCCAGTTTTAGAAAAATGCCCATTTCATTACATGTTTTATAATCAGATTGATCTGCAAACTTTTATGCAAACAAACAGCAAGAGTTACATATAACAAGTTAGCAGTTCCACCCCATCCTAGTCAGCAAGGCAGCAGAGATGGCCCCCTTGCAAGAGTTCAGATGTACTCTTGGAAATCAGTGGCCAAGTGCTTTCAGGATTTATCATGGAGTCTAGATAAACCTTTCTCAGCTACTGCCAATGGTCAACATGGAGAGTTCTTTAGTTTTAATGAAGTTGGAGGAGACGGTGGTTTGCTATCATTTCTGTTTTAAACAAACCAGCCAGGGTAAGAGGGCATATGGCAAGGTGTAGGCTTGAGTCAAAGAACCAAAAAGAGCCAGTGTCAAGTGATTCAGAACCACTTGTCAGATTTGAGACCTTGCTTAGAAAAAGTTTCTTTACACCCGTAGCTGGAGAGATGAAATGGACTGAGTACTGGAGGCAGTATTTTGGTATTATCTGTTCCAGGATTTCTAAAGTTGGGGACTGGTGCTTTTCCCTTGCAGGAGTTCAAGTGGGTGGATGAAAAATAGGGGAGGGGACAACAACAACAAAAATAAGGTGAAGCTGTAGATATCCAGCAGGATTTCTAGAACTCTGAACCTGTACATGATTTCAGGTTTGGAATTCTCACCTCCTTTGGTCAGTCTCTTAGTTGAGAGACTTCATGTAGGTATGCACCCAGCACCTTCACTCCCTGGATGTAATTATACCTGGAGAGAAGAGAGTTTTGCATATTAGTCTGATTTGTATTCTTGTGAGCACCCACTGGTGTGTCATCAGGATTTGCAACATCACATTCTGCATTTTTATCTGCATCAAAAGCTACCAGACCAACTGTACCACTTGGTCTACACTAAAATAGTACTTCAAAATAATCCCCGGTAGGTCAAATTTATAAACCAAGCATCTACACAACCAGGCCTGTTATTTCAAAATAACAGACTGCTTATTTCAAAATCTATACTCCTGCTTTCCTTGGGGAGTAATGCTAGCTTCAATGTGGACGCTCTGGTGCTGCTATTTTGAAATAACTATTCCCTAGAGTAATTCGAACCAATTACTCCACAGTGTGTCCTATGGCTCTGAATTGAGGTAGTGTGTCCATGTTAATAGAGCCTGCCTAGGACTAATTTCAAGGCTTCCCCATAGCGGGGACACGTTATTTCAGTTTTGTAAAAATCAGGCATTAAGTCAAATTTAGTTATTCTGAAATAATATCCTAGTGTAGACATGTCATGAGAGAAGATGAGCAAAGAGCAAACTAGAAAGACTGCAGAATTGCAAACAAATGCATGCAATGACAGTTCAACATACACAGGTACATAATTTCTTCTACAGAGGAGCTATGAATGGCTATATAAATCCATTCAGGGAGAAAGACGACAAAGCAACCAGTCTCACAGGTGGGTACTGATGCATTTCAAAGCTTGTACTATGGACTCAAGCTAGTACAGCAACAAGTAAAACTGTGCAAATTGCTACAGTGCCAAAAAGGCAGCTATTTCAAAGTGACACTTGATCAAACTAAGTATTTTGTTCAAGCTGAAACATTTTCAGCTGATTAGGGGCATTTAGTGTTTGAATTCTAATAAAGAAAATGCAAAAAGTGAAAAACTGAAATGCTTTAGGCACTGTCAAAAAAAAAAAAACCACACCCAGTTAATCCAGGCCCTGTGAGGTCCCTTACCTGTTCAGTTTTTCATTCTGAGAATGGGCACCATCATCTGAAGCACCAACAGGAAGCAGCATTACATTTTTGCCTGTTGCCTCCTGGAAGGTCAGAGTGACAGGAATGCTTCCTCCCTCTCTTGTCAAGTCTGGATCAACTCCAAAAACTTAAAAAAACCAAAACCCACAATCAAGAGTTTGTCAGTTCTCCTGAGTTATTGCATCATCCCCAGCATGTTTCCTTAGTAGAGACCCTGCCATCTTTAGGGATCCCAAAGCACTCTGAAGGGTAGGTTTTGACTGACTGATGGCCAATGCTTGCAACTACCAGGACGACCTATAAGGATGCAACCAAGGACACAAAATAGCTCTTATACTTCTTGATCCCAAACTCAAGTTTAAATACAAGAACATTAAGCCAGAGTCAAGCTGGTCCCAGTATAATGCCAAGGACAAATTATTTCAATTGAACCACTGCTTGCTGCAGCAACTTCAATTATCATCCAAGTATGACCTTGTACATCTTGTTATTACACCTGCTTAGCTCCTAGCTTACCAATCTTGCTGCTACACAGATATCACCATTCAGTGCATTCATGAGCAAGATCAACATCTGAGGTGTCTAGATGGGCTAGACTTAAAATCCCCCAAGTTAACTTCACTGACCTGTCTTCACTGCTCTTCTGCCAGCCATGTAGTGGGGATGATTGAAGTCTGACACCCAAGGTTTTCCACCATGGCCTAGGTGCACTTTGAACTTATTGGGACTCTGCAGCTCAGCAAACTTCTTAGTCAGATAATCGTGAACCTTTGGTATCAATGATTGAACAATTACAAGTCTAGGCTTAAGTAGAACTAGCAACACATTGAAGGAGTTTATACAAGTTCCTCTTGGGTCATCTTACAGATAGACAGGTTATAAGTGAAGCTTAACATTACAGTACTAGAAAGCATATAGCAGTAAATACTTGCCTAGAGGCTGTTACTTTACAACACAAACTCAGTGAAGAGTCAGTGTGTTTCTGTACATGGGAGGCACATTTCTAGCATTGCCCACAATGAGCATTATAAAAAGATTAACTTGCACATCTAGATTTGCAAGAGATCAGCTGCCAGAACAGAAGAATTCTTAGCTAGTTTAAGAGTTGGGCTACGTTGCTGTTGCTCTCATTCTAACGTGCAGACTCCCAGTACACTTGGATCCCTTCCCTGTGCTCTGTACTGCACAAAGACAACTGCTGCCTCATGGAGCTCACAGGGAAATGGCCAGAGCTTCACAAAAGCTCGGCACCCACTTGCTTTTTTGCCAACAGCAGTTTCTGGGTGCTGAGCATTTGAAATTCTGACCCTGAAAGGCTGGATCATACAGCAAATAGTTGCCACGTCTAAGGAGAGAGCTCACTAAGCCAACTCCACAATTCACTTCCAGTGGTACCAGCAAGCTACTTATAGTCCTTACAGCGTACTGGAAAGGCACAGCAGCAGCCACCCTGCTGGAAGAGAGGGCTGGGGCTTTGCTCCTTTCCCCATTGGGAGGGGGAGCAGCAGAACGCTGAAAGCTTCACATCCCCCTCTTCCCACGGTAGGGCTGTGTCTAGACTACATGGCTCCATCGACGGAGCCATATAGATAAGGGTTGTAGGCAAAGGGAAATGAAGCAGCAATTTAAATAATCGCCACTTCATTTAAATTTACATGGCTGCCGCACTGAGCCGACAACCAGCTGATCAGCTGTTTGTCGGCTCAGCATGGTAGCCATGTAAATTTAAATGAAGCCGCGATTATTTAAATAGCTGCTTCATTTCCCTTTTTTGAATAAACTAATCTACATGCCTCCATCGACGGAGGCATGTAGTTTAGACATGTACACGTACCCTAGGAGGGCAGAACCTCCCCCATCCCTGCAATATATGTGGGTAAGGAACAGTAAAGTATCATAGGAGGCCATGTGCCTCCCTTAGCTGGTGTCACCTCCTTACTTTCCCCTGTAAATCTGGTATATTACTTGCACCACTGAGGTCAACCCACTAGGTGTTAGATTTGTGCAAGTAAGGCTTTCAAGTGTGGTACTGGAGCAAAGTATTTATTGCCAAGTTATAAACTAACTTTTCCAGCCATTGGTTTGTGTCCCATTTATCACACCTGGGCTAAGACAGACACCAACACTATGTCAAAGACTTCAGTTAAGATGCATCCCATCTTTGCAGGTTCTAAATAAAAGGCCTTAGAGGTGAAGGACAACAGAGACCACCGAACTGCTGCTATGATTGCAGGCTTTGAACACTGCTGCTGTTCGGGCTTGTGCAAGGGTGGAGGAGGACTTGGCTTGTACCTAAAAAACCCTCATGGCTGGAGCTTTTAAGGACAAGATTCAGCCATTCCCAACTTATACCTGTTTGTTGACCTCTTCTGGAGTCATGTTTGGCACTAGCCTGATGGAGAATTTGCCAATGACTTTCCTTGGAATCACAGTCTTGGCTCCTGATGCAGAGAAGGCTCCTTCGATGCCATGGAGAGATAAGGATGGGTATCTCCACCTGTGCATCAGGATATCTTTCTGCAGAGAGACGGAGAAAGTATTCAGAGTTAAGATTACGGGGGAACTGCCAAAAGCAATTGAGTTATCTAGCCCAATAGTTTTCAGACTTGTTTTCCCCTCATGATCCAGTTGAAGATTGTTGATGCTCGAGACCCAACATCAATTGACTGGAGTGTGGGCTCTAGGGGTGGGTCTGAGGATGAGCACTGAGCTGTAGGAGGGGGCTCTGGGCTTTTGGAGGTGGGAGGTGACCAGGAAGGGCTTACCTTGAGTGGCTCCCAGTCAGCAGTGTAGCGGGAGTGCTAAGACAAACTTTCTGCCTGTCCTGGCACTGGGGCCATGCTGCACCCCAGAAGCAGGCAGCAGCAGGTTCTAGCCAATCGGAGCGTGGAGCTAGTGGTCAGGGCAGGAGCAGTGCACTAGGAGTCAGGCCTGCTGCTGGCTACTTCAGTGGCACAGTGCAGTCTGTGGTGCCAGGACAGGTAGGTAGAAAGCCTGCCTTACCACCTCCTACTGATCCTGCAGCAGCAAGACCCAGTGCCTGACATTCAGCGACCCAGTCCTGGGTTGCAACCCTTTGTTTGAAAACCACTAGTCTAGAAGTTACTCACAGAGATAACAGACAAAATAAGTAGTCGCTCAAGGCAAGCAAGACAACCTGCATTGAACTATGTCTGTATGGTTCAAGCATAGACACCAATGGAAGCAGCAATTTGAACAAGGTTTCCACCTACAGGTATCTGAATTAGTCCTCTCCCAAGGAGAGAGAGTCAGTTAATTCCTACCCTGACAATTCAGCTTAGGCCTGATAAAAGCAGTCTTGAAAGATTGGCCAAGGTGCTTAGCTAGTAGGAAAGCTTTGCCAACCAATTTGATTCTTCCTTAACAACTAATCTGGAAACAGTTGGTAGAGAAACATTTATACAGTGGGCTGTGTCAGTGCTTGTAGCTAACATTACAAGAGAGAACTGGTCCTATTTGTGCACACCATTTACTCTCAGCCATTAGGGCTGTCATTTGAGATAGCTCTGCACAACCAGAGACTGCCAGTGAAGCCTAGGGTCAGCTTGGGCAGTCAGTTGTTGTCCGTATTTGACAGAAGACGGAAGTGACAGACTGAAAAAAAGCAGGGTTCTGCCTTTCAGGATCAGAGCCTAGCAAATGGTATGCATGTGAAACTTGCAGACCTGTAGTAAGGTGCAAGTGTATTACTCATGAACAGCATGCATAGGAATTCTATGTTGTTTTGGAGTAGCCACACAACATTTTAACAGGAATTGTGGTTCAGAAGATTAGACACTAGATTGCATAATTGACAAAATCCCTTAGCTAACTATTAATGTCACCCATCTTCTGATTTACAATTTGGCAATCATGCCAACAGCCACCACCATTAAAGAGAGAGCACCAACATTTGTCAGTTGCATTGGAGATGATACTACTTCATCTATATTTAATAGTCAGAGAAATGTGATTATTGTATTGATAAAACCCTGCCAAGGCTCAATGGAGTGAGGATGCAGATTTCCTCGTCATTGGCTTGGTCACACAGGACATTTTGCGGAAGTGAAACTCCTTCCATGAGACGGTAGATTTAAGAATTTGTAAAATGCAAGGTACTTAAGAGTCTAGACTAACCTCATTAGCCAAATTGTTCTCTTCCCAGAGACTTTGAAAACTACTTGAAAATAAAGGTACATCAAGACTGAGGTGTATCATGTCATCTTTAAAACTAGTCTGAGCCACACACTAGAAGAATTTGGTAACATGTGTTTATACTATGGTGGCAGTGTCTGGAATCGTAAGTAACAGCCCTGCTACTTTATACACCAGAAGAGACAATTTTGTAGGAGGAGCATGCTGCCTACTCTTTAGGATTAGGGATGTAATAGTATAGTTGATTAACCACTAAGCAAAAGCTTATAGGCTAATGCTACAGACTACATGCATTTGACTCCCCTCTTTGCCAGTAAATTTTTAGGTAGGCTATCCAGCAGTCCAGGCTTGCGCTGGGTCAAGGACCTACCCCCACTGCAACTCTACATTTCAAGTGTATTAGGAGGCAGGCAGGCAGCCAGCCTGGCTCAATTCTGGCTCACGCTGGGCCCATGAGCTCAGACCCCACCCAGACAGGGGCTGCTGCCATCTCTGATACAGAGGCCGCTGTGCGGGGTAACAGGCAGCCAGTCCATGAGGGGAACTGGTTTTTAAAACTGGCTACAGCCGGGCACCCCTCGCTGCTGCCTCCAATACACAGAGTGGCAGGAGATTCCTCGGGAGTGGGGCCCGGAGTACACTAGCTGCCAACCCCACTCCTGGGGACTTATAGAATAGTTGAGTAACTGATAAGAATGCAGGAGGTTAATCAATTAACCAATATTTAACATCCCTATTTGGGATCTGATTTGCTAAAGCCTATCAGAAGCCAGTTTTTCCAGTTCACTACAAATGCAGTACACATTAGCACATAGGAGCTTTTTTTGTGCACAAGTCAAGATATTCTGCCTATGGGAAAAAAAAAACCCACAAAACCTTAATTCTAGCTGCCTCAATAGATGAATTAGGCACTGAATTCTCCCTTACAGATGCAGCAAAGACTTTAGTCTACAATACTTTGTAACTGTATATAGAAGAAAGGAATTTGAGGAGGGGGACAGAAGAGAAGTTGAGGCACCGCACTTTTGTGCTATAGAGTAGTTTTGTTGCTCCCACATCTTTTCTATATTCCTCCACATCGAAGTCAATCTTATCATACAATTCTAGCTCCTCATCGGTAACAGGCGCCACGGCTTCATCAATGCCAGGGATAAGGATTTTCCCTCTCTTATCGAGAAGGGACCCTGCAAAAGAAAGGCGTGCCAGATCAGGGTCTATGAAGAGTGATATTCAAGTCTGGTCAGTATTGTTTCTATGTTGTTTTTTTTAAAATAACAGTAAAAGTCATTTGAAAAACCTTGGTTTCTCTAAATGCTTTCTTTGGTGGGGACAGAAAGCAAGAAATTCAGTTCTGGAGACATAGGTTAGAGGCTACTCTTAATGACTACCCAGTGAAAGCTTTGTCTATATACAATAAATAGGGTGGCTACAACAGTGACCCAATTAAGAGTCGCTTGGCAACTGTTCAGGTCAGCACTAGTTGTGAAGGGACTCGTGCAGTAGGCCTTGTCATTTCCTTAAACACTGCACCGGGGTCTATTATAAATCTTTCTGTGTCAGACTGTTTGACGTCAACTTCTTCATGGAGAGTTGTGTATTACATTGTGTAAGACGGCTGAAGGGAAGCAGCCATTTTCTGACAAGTCTGAGCTCTGAGACCCTAAGTCAGCATCCTCTCTGGTTTTCCCTAAAAAAAACCAGATTCAAACATATAAATGACTCCTTCCTCAGATCAGTATTTCAGTGTCTAGGGAGTTGAACCTAATTCAGTTTCTCCTTCTGCATCACTACAATTTCAGTAAGATTAACTAATTTTAAGTCAGACAAACAGTGCCCAGTAAATTTGGCATTAGAACCCTTTACAGTGTAAGTTAGCTTGCACCAAAGAGCTTTTTTAAGATGCATTATTTACAGGACAGTTTGCTGCCAAATGTATGCTTGAGTTTTATGCATTACTACAGCAGGCAAATATATATCTCTTACCCATCAGAGCAATGAGATCTGTCATGGCCTCATATACTGAGCCACCATAAAGTCCAGAGTGAAGATCTTTATCACTGCATTCCACCTGGTTTGAAGCAAACAAACTTGTGATCAGATTAGTTTCAGCAGCACTTTTAATAAATCCTCAATGACCTAGACTCAGAGTTAAAAAAAAAAGTAATCAGTAGATACATCTCTGAGGTAGCAGACTGCTAAACCACACCAGATGCTTGCAGTATATTCTTTGACTGGGATAGCAGCAAGAGGCCTGTCAGGATTGGGGCCTCATTGTGCTAGAACTTGTACAAATGTACCATGAACATTTCCTGTGCTGAATGCCTTACAACCAGATTCAATACCAAAAGTCTACTTTAAAAATAAATTAAAAAAAATAAATAAAAAATAACACACTTAACTACACACAAAACCATTGGCCACATTGTTCAACCTATGGGTATCCTCACTCACAGGATGGTCAGTGGCCCGGATTAAAAGATGGTGCCCCAACTAGTAGCATCTTTGCTATTGTCTCACAGGGTATTTTGCTGACAGTTTTAGAGGCACATCCTTCTCCCCAAGTTTGATGGAGTGGGTCCCGGGGTAGGCTATGCACAGGGCATATAGCCGCTCCCCCAGTTACGACCACCTCCACTTACGGCCATCTGCACTTACAACCAAAGTGATCGTTGCAGATCTGAGTTACGAATGGCGATCTGCGCTCATGAACAGCGCAGTCACCATGTAACTATGAGATCAGAGTTATGAACACTTCGAGTTACAGACCAAGTGTTGGTTGTAACTTGGGGAGCAGCTGTACAGGAAAAGAGCTTTGGTGTATCTTCCACTAGGATACACCTACCCATCTTCAAAAGATCACAGATTAATATTCTAATACATCCAATGCTAAGTGCCAAAAATTAAGACAGCTCTTTAACAAAGAGATTCAATCTGTCAATAACTTCAGTTACACACAGGAATGAATAATTTACCTCTATGAAAAAGTAGCAGATTCCCCTAAGGCCATATGTGATACAGGGCTTCTTCTTGCCTAGCCAGTAGTTGTCAGAGATACAAACATAATCTACATCTTTGAAGAAAGCATCTTTTTGAGACAAAATCAGTTCATCAAGGCCTTCAGAGCCAGACTCCTCCATGCCTTCCAGACAGAACTTGATGTTCACTGGTAATTCCTTTGGAATGAAACAAGCAAGGAAACAGTCAACATTGCTCAGATACTAGGTCATGCAGATTTGTTATGCATTCTAGTGCACACAAATAGACATTATAGTTCTGAGACAGGCACACTAGTATCACTTTATGAAGTGCTTGCAGTTCTATTGATGTGTCTTTATTGCCAGCAGAATCTCAGAGCACACAATTCCCAAGATGATGGGCCAGACTTGCCACGTCGCAGTTGAAGAATAACTTCATTCCAACAGTGGCTTTCACAAAGGGGACTTAAAACAGTACAGCACTTACAGACATCCTCCTGCTTAGTGGAATTCACAGCCCTGAAACAAACCCAGGCTGCCCCATGCAATACACAGGGGAAGAGAGTTAAGTTCCAAAAAAGTAGATTCAGCAATGCTGTGCAGAAAGTCAGCTGAATTAGCCAGTTGAACTGCTGGAGAAGAGGGGTGTGGTGCAAGCTTCTGCCCCCTCCCAGAGCTGAGAGCCACATGGACGGAGAGAGTTGAGGGGAAGGGGTGCTAGAGGCAGGCTTTGGCTAGGAGGAAACAGTTTCAAACAGTCTGGGGCTGCAGCAGGCAGAGACAGTCCAGCCTGTCTTGGGGGTGCTGCAAGGCTGCTGGCTGGAAGATGCTTTGCTAAGTGCCTCCTAACCAAAGCCTGCCTCTAGCATCCCTTCCCCTCAACTCTCTCCCCTAGGTCACCATCCAAACCTGCTACACTCCCAAGGTCAGGTCTCAACTCCCACCCAGACCATGTACCCCTTCCTACACACCTTGCCCAGGCCAGAATCCTCTCCCGCACCCAAACACCCTCCCAGACCCTGCACCCCATTCCCCTACCCCAGGTCACCACCCAAGTCCTCTACAGTCTGCACTCTGTTTCCCCTTCTACCCATCACAATTCCCCCCCGCAGACTTTGCACCCTCTCTTGAAAGCCCTCCCCCAGGCCAGAATCCTCTCCTGCATCCATACTCCCTTCCTGACCTACACCCCAATCCTCTGACCAAGGTTACAATCCCCTCCTTCATCCAAACTCCCTCTCACCATCTCCTGCACCCCAATCCCATACCCTGTGCACTATTCTGCACCCAGCCACCATCCTAGACCCTACACCTGCACCATAGAGAAGTGTAGCCCTTGACCACTTTCCAAAATTTTGGAGTGCTCCTTGTCTGTGAATCCTGTCAGAGCCTGGACAATTGATGAGCTGTTGGGCAACAGCAGGACTTGGGCAGCTGAAGGAAACTCATGTGCCTTGGGACTTCAGCTACCTACAGAGTCAAGCAGCAGCTAAGCAGTGGCCTCTGAATGCCGGTGGGACTTAATGGCTGCATTCAGGAACTTTAGTCTCCCTTGTGAATCCCACCTGTGGTCCCTTTAATGCTTGTTCTGAGCACTAGTTGCTCTTCTAGCAATCATGCTCACTATTTCTCCATTTCTCCCCCTCCCCAGCCCATCCCCCAGGAACATGCCATCTTGGCAGTGATGAATAGTTCCTGGAGAGATCTCCCTGGCCATGATTAGTTACATTTTATGCAATTCATTGTGTTAGAATTAAGAGGTTTTGGCATTAATTAGCTGTGAAACAAAAGCAGATGCACTTGCACCTCTGGCACCTTCAATCTGAGGCAGCCCTTAAGGTAGCACCTGAAAGTCACTCACATTGCTACAAGTGGAAAAAAATAGAAACAGAAGGATGTAGTCTCTGGCAGACTAACAGAACCAGGGTCTTCCAGACAAATGCTATCCCATACAACAGTGGCTCCCAACCTTTATGCTGCAGACCGGCAAACCCATTCACAAATGTTTGGCGGGCCGGTAACACTGTATTTGCATATTTACTACCCAAATAACAAATATGCAAATAAATGGTACTGGTCCACTTAGGCAGTGGGGAGCAAGGGGCTGAGTTGGGGGCTAACACCCTTTGACCCCCACTCTTATGCCCCGAGCCCTTTCACCTCAGACTCTACGACCCATGCCAACACCCTCGTCACATGACCCCACTCTCCCTAAAGTGAGGCTGCCCCCCCTGGAGAGCCCAGCCATTACTGCTGCACGGGCAGGGGGAGTGGCCCCTTGTGCCTCCATGGGTAAAGGGGGAGCCCTGGCAGTCACCATTATGGGGAGGGAGGTGCCTCCTGCTCTGCCCCAGCACTGCTGCTGGCAAAAGCAGCCACACAGGCAGGGGTGGGGAGAGCCCTAGGGAGGCACCTCCTGCTCCACCTCCTTCTGCCACCACCTGAGCCACACTCCCACAGCCACTGTGGCCTGGCAGCAACGCTGCCATAAGAGAACCAATTAGAGCTTGCCTGATCAACCTTCCCCCCCCCCACACACACACCCCCCACAAGCAGATGAGTTTATAGAATTAAAACTAGGATGACCATTGCAAGCCAAGATGATTAATGATCTTCACTGATGGGGGGGGGGGGGGCATGTTACTGTTAATGTTCTACTATACCCATGGTGTCCAAAATGCAGGTCACTAGCCACATGTGGCTGTAATGGCTACTGCTTCAGAACTGGTTGGACACCGTAGTACTAGAATATAGAGGTTGTTGAGAATCAATAGTGATTTTCCACAGGCAAGTTGAGACCTTTTGATTGCAATCTTATTTCAAGTTAGATTAAACTTCTAAACTTGGCAGAGTTGCCAATTTAACATTGAGTTGATTCATCTGCCCATTCCAGCCTCAAATTGCTGTGACAGTTTTTTAGCAAAGTTTGACTTTGAGCTGAGTAAGTCAGACCACAGCAACTTTTGACAAAGAAAGCCTTTGGTGAACCTGGCTGGGCTTAACGGATTCTCCTGCAGGAAATTTCTGTATTTGTCTCATTCCATGTGTGGCTAATAAACATTGAGAACGTTCAACTCTAACAAGTGCCCTGATTGCTGCTCAAAAAGATAAAAAGCTGACCTTTCAGATGGGGTACGCTGTAACTAAATTGAGCAGTTATAATGTAGGTATCCAAATGCACAAAGTGTCAGACCTAGATTAAATCAGTACTGATACAGTATCATTTACTAGACTTTTGACTAACCTGGGGCTAGGACAACCTTTGAACTGCACAAACAGGTTGAGTTTAGCAGAATAGAGGTTGTTAAGATACAATACCTGTTTAGTTTGTTGATAAGCTTCAAGAGCATTCAGCCAGGCAAGGACTGGACCTTTGTCGTCTGTTGAGCCTCTCCCATACAGTTTTTCTGCAGATAGGAGAGAGAAGAAAAGTCTATATTGGGGATGTTTAAATTAGATAAGCTTAGGCTTATTGGGTAGTTGACTACTCTCTTACAGACATCCCTAGTCTGTATGAAAGCTTACTTGAGCCAAAAAGGGTTAACGAATAGGCTCAGTGTTTCAGTGTTGTGAGCTCACTCCTGGAGTCTAATCAAGTTCTGCTTAGCATGAGACCAAAGAAAAAGAGTGAAGGGGTCTATAGGCATCTGCCATTGCTACAAACCTAAGGCTAGGAACCATAACAGCGCCGTCTCAGGACTCCTAGACATATAACATTGTGGTCCCTGGGTGAACACTTACACAGTGGGAAGATTGCCCAGCTACAGCAGCACTCTGGCCATGCATCCTGTGTAGTCAGCATTCTCAAGGCAAGGCAGAACCAGTTCCATTAAGCCTTAGATTTCTCTTGTGTAATGAAACCATCAGCCCTCATCACACAATTTCACTGCCACTTTGTCCTACTCCAATGGCACAGTGGGGTTGAAGCCAAGGACTCAGTGCAGCCCTTTGCTCTAACTTACCAGCAATCATTGAATTAGACTTCACTACACACTATCAAGTCCAAGTTACTCCAACACATGAAGCTGGCTAGCACCCAGTGATTATCAAAAAGTTATAAGGTTTAAGTAGCCTGTTTGCAAGGCACTGATCAACACATGCAAAGCTGACAGGCTGTATAGCTTAAATTGAACTTATCTTTTCAATGGAGTTTTATCATACAACCTTTGAACCTCAAGATCATAAATATAGTATGGGAGCTGCTGAAACATGGAAAAGGATCATCATAGTGGAAGAGTATTAAATATTCAGAAGGGAGGAAAAGTATTTTCAGCACTCTTCACTATTGCTGGCTGTGTGAGAGCAAGAGTAGGTGTAGAACATTCAAGGGAAAAAGTTCCTCCAGGTATGGGACTGTACCAGATATTCTGCACCTAGAATATCTGGTACAATCCTGCAATACCCCCTAGGCAGTGGCCAAACTCCAACTAGC